TATTTTAACATATTTATTTGTGTAATAATGATTCGAATATTTTTGCGTTGAATAAAACATGAAATTAAAAGGGGAATCGAAACGGTAGATTTTGCGCGGGAAAAACAAGAGCAGCGTTTAATGGCGGGAAAAAAAGGTTGACGGTTTGCAAAAGTAAAAATATAGGGGTCCATTTTTTCACCGTCAGCTGGAAAATATAAACTTATGTGAAAGAGGGAGAGGAAAGAGAAGAGAGAGAGAGAGAGAGAGAGAGAGAGAGAGAGAGAGAGAGAGAGAGAGAGAGAGAGAGAGAGAGAGAGAGGAGAGAGAGAGAAGAGATGTAGAGAGAGAGAGAGAGAGAGAATGTATCTAAGAGAAAGAGGAGGGAGGGAGAGGGAGAGAGAGAGAGGAGAGGGAGGGAGGAGGAGAGAGAGAGAGAGAGTCTATCAGTTAATCTCTACCTTCTCTCTCTGATTTCTCTGTTTATGTCTGTCTGTATGTATTGTAGGACTGTCTGCCTGCGTGTCTGTCAGTTTGTCTATATCTGCTCTTCTTCTCTCTCTCTCTCTCTCTCTCTCTCTCTCTCTCTCTCTCTCTTCTCTCTTCTCTCTCGTCTCACTCTCTCTCTCTCTCTCTTCACTTCTCTCTCTCTCTCTCTTCCTCCCCCCTCCCTCCCTCCCTCTCCTCTCTCCTCTCGTCTCTTCTCATCTCTCTCTCTCTCTCATCTCTCGTCCTCTCCTCACTCTCCTCTCTCTAAACTTTCTCTTCCTTCTCTGCCTTCTTCCTTCTCGTCCTTCTGTCCTTCGCTCCTCGCCTCCTCCTCCTACCTCCCTCCCTCCCTCCCTCCTCTCTTCTCACCCATATACTATATCTCTATATCGTCTCTAACCTCTCCTCTTCTCTCCCCCTCTATCTATCTATCTATATCTCGATCTAATTCATATATCTCCTCAAAAGATAAGATAGTTCTGGTTCTGATATATAATATCATATCACAGATGTACTGCTATTGCAAACCACTCAACCCTAGTTCAATGTCACCGTCCATTAATAATTGTTCATCATCTAACTACGTATAGAATAAGGGATAACAGGAGAGAGAGAAAAAAAAATGCATAAAATCATGTCTAAATAAAAGTGGAAATCGAAACTATGTTTATGATGAAAATGATTAACAGGGAGAGAGAGACAGAGAAAATGCATAAAATCATGTCTCGAATAAAAAGTGAAATCAGAAATCAAGCCACAAAACGCGTTTGAATTCTCCTTCACAAACTTTTCTCGTACAAAAAATAAATGAATAATATGAATAAAAATAATGATAATTAATAATACAAAACATAAACAAACATTATGAATAAAAAGAGAAAAATAATGTTATCCCAAGCCACATTCCTGGCCATTCGGACGAACAACTGGCGTTGATTGTGTACTTTCTGCTCCGTTCCTGTTCATTCGTTTAGCAAATTGCGCAGATCTTAACTGGTGGACACAATCGAGATAATTACTGTCGGGTTTGCTTCTCCCAAAGCCTCCTTAACGGTTTGATTAATCATCGGATGGTGAGAGAGATTAGAGAGAG